CTCTGTGTAGCCCTGGCTATTCTGGAATCACTCTGGAGACCAGCCTGGCCTCGAAATCACAGAGATCTGTCTGCCTCTGCCTCCCAAGTACTGGGACTAAAGGTGGGTGCCATCACCGCCAGGCACGATGATTTCTTAATTCAGTTCATGGTCAGAATCTATGCAAACTGTGAGGGGCTGGGACTGGAGGGAGGATTCTCTGAGACCAGTCCAGGGATAGACGCATAGAAGACGCTCAGGAAAATATCTGCTAAATGAACAGGAAGGGGTGGCCATGTCTGGTTTCCAGCAGTGAGAACGAGGCCAGGAGTGCAGAGCTGGCACACCCTAGGCTGCCTCTGAGGACGGCCTCTCTAGCCGGGGGATGTCAGAGCCAGGGCACTCGGAACTCTGCAGGCCCTGCAGTGAGGTGAAGCCCAAGGTAGGAGCCAAGGACACCAGCGTCAGGCCTGGCGCCCAGCCCGGTCTTTCTTTAGCCCTAGTGAACAGCACTGAGCTGTAGTAGCGACAGTCCCTGCTTCCGGGGAAAGCCCGGGGCGGGCCTGTGCTCTGCGGTCCTCCTCGGCACTTCAGAGAGGCCCACAGCCCGAGCCACAGCCCGAGCCACACCCCGGCCTGCCCTGACTGCAGCAGCCTCTTCTAGCCCAGCTCTAATTCTCTGCAGGCACATCTCCCCCACTCCCCCACCCTCCTCAGCTGCTGTGGGCCCCAGGGCCTCTCTGCCTGCTGGCCCCAGGCCCCTTCCCGCCAACTCTTCAGCCTAAGTCATCTTTAAACTATTTTCCACTGGCTCCCCTAATCTCTGCCACAGCACAAATCTTTTTTTAGTGGGAGAGGGCTGAAGAATAAGAGGCGGTTCTTGGACCCTGGGGGCGGGACTAAAGAGGGGCGCTGTCCTATCTGACTGGTCACCTCTGCTCCAAAATTGACTTTATAATCTATTGACCCCGCCTCCGTCCCTGCCCTGACATGCAATTGGCTGCGCCTCCGGGGGGGGGGGGGGGGGGGGGCCCCCCCCCCCCCGGCCGGCGCGGGGGGGGGGGGGGGGGGGGGGGGGGGGGGGTCGGGACTCACCCGGTCCGGTCCGGTTAAAAGGGTCGGAGTGGGCCTGGGAACCCATCTCTCGGGTGGAGTCTTCAGACAGCTTGTTCGGCGGGTCGCAGGAATCCTCTCTTCACTTCAGTCATGGCCTGTGTGAGTGCGGGACCCTCTACTCCAAGGTCTATAGGTTTGAGCAGAAGCAGATGGGTGCAGGAGAGTAGCCAGTTTGGGAATTGCCCCGCTGTGTGGCCTTAGACAGGTGTTTTCTGTTGTTTTTTTTTCTTCCCTGACCCTCAGTGGCTGTATCTGTAAAATGGGGGTGGTGGTCATAGTTCCCCCTAAAACGCTCAGCCTCTCTGGCTTAATAATGTTCTGGATTTCTCTTGAGTTCTGGCAGCTTATGTCTTGCAAGGTCCAATATTCCGCCACTTTGCAGTTTTCTGAGAAGTGGGAGTTGGGAAGGGTGTGGCCAGCCAGGGAGGGAGAAGGGGAGACAGGGAGACGTTTTTGGCCCAGGGTCACTCACTGTTCCCCTCTCCTCCAGTCTAGAGTCTCCTGACCCCTCCCCCCCTGCAGCTGTCCCCAGTCACAGGGCCAGGGCCCAGTCACCCTCTGCTCCAGAAAACTCTTTAAAAAAAAAAACCTCCTGAATCTGAGATAGGCTGCAGGCTGCTTAACGGAGGCTGGTCAGGTTGGGGCCAAGAAAACTGCTTTCATGTGGACACAGAGACACACAGGCCGGCCCTCGGGGACAGGATTGAAATGTCAAAGGAACCCCTCACCCAGATTAACTCCTGTCCGCCCACCCAGGCAGGTGCCCAGCAATGCCCAGATATGTGCTGGGTCCTCTAGCTTGCTGGATCCATCATGCCACTCTCTGGCTGCACTCTCCCGGAAGAACCTCCCTACCCCTCAGCTTCTCCTTTCTACTGTGTGCCTCTGGGGAGAGAGCCTTAGGATGGGGGCGGATGGGGGCGGGGGTGATAGAGAGGTCTGGGCTGCTTTCTTGCTCCCAGAGGAGGAGACATTTTTATTCAGCAGGACCTTGGTCAGGCAGTCACCTAGTCCTGCCCATCAGCTAAAGGAGGACTTGGGAGGTCACACTCCATTGTCCTCTCCACTCAAAGTCCAGATTTCCAAGCTGATGATGGGCGGACCTTCTAGGGCCTGTCCTGTAGGACAGACACACGTTTAAAACTTAAAACTAACACACCCTGAAGGGAATGGGGCCTTTCCCTAACCACAATCAAGACTAGAATTTACGCCGGGTCCTGTCCAGCCCACCCCACCTCGGGCTTCCCCTAGGGCTGTTCAAGATACCCAGGGTGGGAATGACCCCATTCCCACACCACAGGCCACCGCGGATGGCTCAGGCCATATCCTCCTGACTCGATCTAAGCGCAGCTGGGTGGTCTTTTCTACACAGGGTCTGGTCGCCAGCAACCTGAATCTCAAACCTGGGGAGTGCCTCAGAGTCCGGGGCGAGGTGGCCCCCGAAGCCAAGAGGTGAGAATGGAGAAAGGGATGATGTTGGCAGGGGCGAGGCTGGGATGGGCGTGGCCGGCCGGAGCCGCTCTTCCCCAGCCCGCAGGGGGTTAATGGCTAGCTGCAGAGGCTGCGTTTTCTGGGTGAGTCACTTCCTAGCTGGGTCTGGTCGGCCTCACCGTGGTCTCCCCCTCCTCCCGCCCCCTTTCTCCCGGGCTGGAGTTTCTTAAACTAAACCAGCTGCGGCCGCAACAGCTACCTCGGCTTGCGCCCTCCCCTTCCGCAGGGGGTGGGAGGGGTCACCCACGTGCCTGCTGCCTTCGGGGCTCAGGCTTTTTTTTTTTCCAACGCTTTCCTCTATTCATACAGCCCCATCGCATAGTTTCTCAGCAGTCATGTGGCCTTGGACCCAAGCTCTGCAGGCCCCAGGCTTTTTTTTTTTCTTTTCTTTTCTTCTCCAGCGACAGGGTCTCACCTATGTATCCCTGGCTAGCATATACCGTACTACGTCGACCAAGCTGACCTCCACGGAGACCCACATGCATGCCTCTGCCTCCCCGGTGCTGGCACTTCAGCACCTCCACACTCCACACCCACAAGAGTCAGGGTTTCCTAATAAAGCCAGAGGGAAAGTTGTGGTGTGGAGAGAGCCAGGGCCAGTTCCATCGAGGGGGCGGTGGCTGCCGTCTGCCTTGTGGCTGATTAGTGAGCTGCCCGGCGCTTTCTTATTTCCTCCTACCATGCTCCGTGAGCCCTCTCCCCGCCCCGTCCCCGTATTATTAGTTGCTTTTTGACTCCACAAGGATAGGACACAAAGGTGGTGTACTCTGCTACACAAGACAGACAGGACGCTTTCTGGAGTCTCCTGCGTTGACCAAAGCGGGTGGTGCCAATCTGTGTCTGGGAGAGAGAGCCCTTCAGGACAGCAACCCTGTCTGTACACTTGGGGGTCTGTACAGACAGACGTGTACAGACAGAGAATCGGCAGGGTCTAGCTCAGCTCACACAGTGAAGCCAGAATTAGAACCCAGGTCCCTGGACTCCCTGTTGGCTGAGTTTCAACAAGCTGCACTAATGGCCAGCTGCTGTTTCGGCCATGTTATCTCAGTGAGCTTTGGGCCTAGAGCTAACCAGCGCGGCTTAACGGCTCACCTGTCACTCCCTAGCTTTGTGCTGAACCTGGGGAAAGACAGCAGCAACCTGTGCCTGCACTTCAACCCCCGCTTCAACGCCCACGGGGACTCCAACACCATTGTGTGCAACAGCAAGGACGGTGGAGCCTGGGGGACCGAACACAGGGAGCCTGCCTTCCCCTTCCAGCCTGGGAGCGTCGTGGAGGTGGGCAGCGGGGGGGGCTGCGGAGGGCCCTGGGTGGGCGGACAGCATGGTCGAAGGTTAATGACCAGTGAGTGAGTGACATCTCTCTCTGAGCCTAATGGGCCTCACGTATGTAGGGGCTGCGGCCGAGGCTCTGAGCTGGTCCAGGGCCCAGCTTACTGCCCTTCTCCACCCACCAGGTCTGCATCACCTTTGACCAGGCTGACCTGACCATCAAGCTGCCGGATGGGCACGAGTTCAAGTTCCCCAACCGCCTCGGCCTGGAGGCCATCAACTACATGGCTGCCGATGGCGACTTCAAGATCAAGTGTGTGGCCTTCGAATAAAGCCAGCCATCCCATAGCCCTCAATAAAGGCAGCTGCCTCTGCTCCCCTTAACCCCGCCCTTCTCGTGAGAGCGTTTGTGTGTTCTGTGTGAGGGGCCCTGCCCAGGCCGGGGCCATCTTCTCTTCCATTCACTCCTCCGAGTGACCCTCGTGGTCCCAGGGTCTCTCCCCTTTCCCCTGTGTTCTCCAGGCTAAGCAGAGCCCGGCACACAGAGGGCTTCGTGACCACAGAGTATGAACCAGTCCCATCTTGACAGGCGCAGAGCAGTGGGAGGTGGAGGGACAAACAGCAGGACCTCATTTGCCTTCACGTAGGCCAGAAAGACCCTGGGCATGGTGGCACACACTTGAAATCTAGGAGGCTAGGGCAGGCACATCGCCATGTGTTGGCGACCAAGTTCAGGCCAGCCTGGGCTACATGGTGGAGGTGGCTGGGACTAGTTATGCAGCCCTATGCTACTAACTACTTGGGAGACGGAGGCAAGGGGATTAATTTGGACTAGCTTGGGCAACATAGCAAGACCTCATAGGGTGGGAGAACCTTGAGTTAGGCAAGAAGCTACAAGCTGTTGTTTGGCCTTGCACCTGTTAGCGGATCTGAGCCTCAGTTTACTGTTGAATGCTTGGGGGAATAGTTTGCATGAGAGTTGTTAGGGAGTTAAATGAGATGTTATTGGAAGAAGCCAAGTTCCACTCTGGGTGTCTCATGGTCAATGCCCTACGAGTAGTTTCTGATCTCTCTTAATGCTCCCTTTTTATGCCTACCAATGCGAAGGGGAGGAAATGGGATCTGAGGGACAAAAATGACTCCTCAGCATCTGAGCACACAGGGAAGCAAGCCCCCTAGCTCTATGATGCTGGACCACGTGGCCACTGTGGAGCCCAGAGGCAGCGGCTGTCTAGGCTAGAGGCCACTGACTCCCGTGCCCTGGACAGGTCCTCTCCCTAACGTGGGTACCTGGGCTGAGGTCGCAGGCCTTTGATGTGGTTGGGGGCTCTGAGCGGGCCCCTTCAGAGACATGGGGCAAGGAGTCGGGTAGGGAGGCTGATGGGAAGGCCCACAAGCAGGTCTCCCAGAAGGCAGGTAGCTTGTTGGGCTGGTGGAAACAGTTGTGCCTGACATTCCTGGCTTCCAGAGGCGGTATCTTCCCAACACCAGCCCAGGTTCTGCTCCCTCTGATGCTGTTCATAACTGAGCCCCATCCCACCCAGCACAAGCAACTGCAGCAGACCCATGGGCCACCACCATCTACCCGCCCCCACCCCTACCCCCTACTCCTACATCCCAGGAAACAGCTGCAGGAACTAAGCCAAGGTTCTGGAAGGCTTTAAATATGCGTGTACTCCCAGCCTCAGTCTCCCCATCCATAGCAGGATGAAGAGTTTTCATGTTGGTGGGTCTTCTGGGATCCAGAAAGGGGGGCTACCCATAGAGGAGGGCCAAAGAGAACCGAATACACAGGCCTTGGGCTCTCATGAGCCACACCCCCATGATCACCATGCTTTTCTGAGGCGCGGAAGTGTGGCTGTGGAGGAGACACACCCTGCTGGGCCTCAAAGAAAATGTGTCTTAGATTGTTTTCAAGGGATTCCTTCCACAAGAGCTAAACACTAACCATGTACAAGTACAACGGATGACAACAGAGCAGAGGAGAGAGCCCTGAGGTAGAGAAGGAGAGAGGCCACTAGGCATAGAATCAGAAAGGCCGAAGTTCGAATGCAGCTTCTCTGCTTTGTGTTCTTGGACTGGTTACACAGCAGCTCTGTGGCTGAGCCGACTTTTCTGTCAAATTGAGTTAATAATGTGTCTACTCTCTCTGGCTGTGCGATGCACCGAGGTGGTGTGTACGGATGTGTGGTGCCTAGCCCCTGATGGGGGCTCTGAAAATGCTGGTTTGCCTTCACCCCCTTTAAGACTCTATAGTGTTTGGGGCTGGAGAGGTGGTTCAGCGGTTAAAAGCACTGGCTGCTCTTCCAAAGGACCAGGGTTCAAATCCCAACACTCACATGGCAGTTCACAACTGTCTGTAACTCCAGTTCCTGTAATGTCCACCCTCGCACAAACAAACACAAATGTAAATTAAAAAAAAAGGACACACACCTGCCTCTGCTCAGCAGGCCTCAAACTGCCTAAGGAGCCAAGGATGACCTTGAATGTCTAAGCCTCTGGACAGGACTGCTGGACCTGTTCTCAACTGTGTAGCCTCAGGCAGCAGCTGACTAAGCCTGCTCCTTTTCAGTGAAATACGGGCCAGCTCTCCAGACATCATGTAAAAATAGCTGGATAAACAGCCACTGCTCTTGTCTTCTTCCTTCCCATGTGCCATCTCCTGCCGCCTCTGGCCCTCATTAGGTTCCCAGGAAATAATTGCAAGAGGAAATGTAGCCAGTGTGAGTGTTGTGTGGAACAATGCTGACCCGGGGTGGCGTATTTCACTCTGAAGGGCCTCCTGCAGGGTACAGAGCTGTTGCTGGACTGAGGGAGGGGTAGTCTTGCAGAGCTCTCCCCTGAGAATCTCCAGCAGGCAGTCATCTGGTTCCTGTCTCTGGAACATACAAGAAGCCTGGGAGGGTAGGACCATGCTGTGTACATCTGGTCCCATCGCTTATGCCTTGATCCAATACTTCCCTCTTCAAGCCTTATCACCTGTAGAGCAGGGATCAAAACTCCACTGACCTCACAGGGGGGCTGTAAGGATCATCACAGGGGTGGGGCTCAGTGGTTAAGAACACTTATCACCCTTCCAGAGGACCTGGGTTCGATTCCCCAGCACCCACATGGCAGCTCCCAACCATCTGCAACTGTCTGTAACTCCAGCTCCAGTTTCTTCTGACCTCCTCAAAACTCCCAAATATGTACAATAAGTAAATAATAATAATAAGAAGAAGAACTGTGCAGACTGTCAGCTTGACGGTGCACACCTTTAATCCCTCACTCAACAGGCAGAGCTCTGTGAGTTCAAGGCCAGCCTGGTCTACATAGTGAGTTCCAGGGCTATGCCTATAAAAGGGGGATGGGAGTGGGGAGGGGAAGGTACAGGCCCCAGCCTCAGTCCAGAAGGCATCAAGGGAACAATCCTCAGAGACTGGGGGAGTTTGAGAAGGTACTGACAAGAGAAACAGGCTCTGACTTACCAAGTCAGACAACAGGACTTCTGTTTAGTCCAACAATCACAGGGAGTGGGGACAGCACGTGGCAGCCCAGCAGGCAGATGGCAGCTCTCAGTGCTCTGGCTTCTTCAGAGGCACAGTGAAGCCAGGACAATGCCTCTACCCAGAGGGGTGATGCCAAGGGTGGCAGAATGGTTTGGCTTAGGGGAGCAGAAGGGATCACTCAAGGAGACAGATTTGTCTAGTGTTCTGAAGCCTTCTCTTTAGACAGTGTCTCAATTAGCCCAGGCTGGACTCCAATTTTCCATCTGTCAGAGGATGTCCTTGAACTCCTGATCCTCCAGGCTCTGCTTGCTAGGCTTACAGGCTTTTGTTACATGGCCAGTTTGAGGACCCACACTTTGAAGAAAACTTCTCAGCATCCAACATGGACTATCTAAGTAGGAGACACTTGTGGAAAGAATCTGACACTCATGGTGTGTCATGCCTACTCTAAGTGATGCTCTTTCCAAAATTCATCATCACAGTCGGCACCCTACTTCTCTAGAGCTTCTGTTGGGAGTGACCAGGGAGCTGGAAAGGGAGACCAAAGAACAGGCAATCAGTCTCACATTTTAACATTGGCACTGAAAGACCCCAGCCTCACACTAAGTTAAACATAGCTAATGCCATTTTGTGAGACACTACTGTTTTGTAAAACTCTGAAGGCCAGATGAGAAACTGGAAAATTACTGAGAAATCCTAGCTGTGTCACCCACTTGGGATATCTGTGGTCAGGCTGCCCCAGTCATACTAAAAACAGTTTGTGTTAATCACTCTCATAGATATCTGTGAGACTGTTTCAGCTAAGATAGGGAAAAACAAAATAACAGGTGGCGGGCCACGTCAAGGGGTCATCCTACCCCCCTTGACCACCCAGTTCCTGGAATCTTGGTGCCCCTGCCAAACTTTGACGCAAATTGTGGTCTCGTGTAAACGTACCAATCAGCCCCCTGTAACCATGCCCTCTCGCTTCTGTACCAGTGCTTCTGCCTCTAAAACCCTATAAAAACCCCAGCTTCCCATCTAGGGGGCGCGCAGGGCCCTCCCGAGTGACCTTGCTGCCCCGAGTACTCGTGAATCAAAATAAAAGCCTCTTGCTGTTTGCATCCGAATGGACTCGTTGTTCTTTGGGAGGGGGTCTCTCTGACGGAAGATACCCTCCGGGGATCTTTCAGGCACAATCCTCTCTCTTCTGTTTGTTTGTTTTGTAGCACCCTTTTAAAACTATTTTACTTCATTTCTTAAGCCTCTACCCTCTTTCCAACTCCCCTGAACCTAGGTAGGAGAGAAAGGTTAGAAGGGACAGGGGACGTAGATCTCTTTAAACTTGGTTCCTGCTGATTAGGGTCATAGGGTTCTTTGGGTCAATACCAATCTCAGTTGTCAGGATATCCAGCAGTCCAGCAAGAAAGAAACAGCAAACACAGCAGAAGAATGAACCAGCAACATCACAGGGAGCAGCAGCCTTTTTCCTTCTTGGAGTCTCCCTCAAAATGTTCTGTGTGTGTGTGTGTGTGTGTGTGTGTGTCTTTCTCCCTCGCCTTCTCTCTCTCTCTGAGAATCCCTTGAGGCGTTCTTCTCTCTTGAAGCATTCTCTTCGAAGATCCGAAACAAGTCAGAGCCTGTTTCTCTTGTCAGTACCTTCTCAAACTCCCCCAGTCTCTGAGGATTGTTCCCTTGATGCCTTCTGGACTGAGGCTGGGGCCTGTACCTTCCCCTCCCCACTCCCATCCCCCTTTTATAGGCATAGCCCTGGAACTCACTATGTAGACCAGGCTGGCCTTGAACTCACAGAGCTCTGCCTTTCTCAGGGCTCTGGTATTTTTACCTTCTCAGAGTCCTCAGAATTAAACTATCTGCAGCTGCCCCTCTCTGAGCCGCAGGAGGCACTTATCAGCCGTGGACAAACTAAAAGCAGCTCCATATCCCACACTTGGGATTAAAACAAAAGAACAAATAAACCTGTTGACAAAACATAACTGAGTATTTTAAAGAAACCCAAACTTCCACTACAATTTTTGTTTTGTCTTGTTTTTGAGACAGGGTTTCTCTGTGTAGCCCTGGCTGTCCTGGAACTCACTCTGTAGACCCGGCAGATGGGCCTGGATCTCAGAGATCCCCCTGCCTCTGCCTTGAGAGTGCTGGGCTTAAAAGGCATGTACCATCATGCCTGGCAAGCACAGTCCTTTCATAAGTGATAGCTTGCCTCTCTGTGTGTCTGGCACACAGTAGGCACTCAATGTGGCTTTCCTGGCTCTTTGGGTCTATATCTGAAATAGGACTGGATTGTAAGTGAAAGATCCCCGGAGGGTATCTTCCGTCTGAGAGACCCCCTCCCAAGGAACAACGAGGCCATTCGGATGCAAATAACAAGAGGCTTTTATTTTGATACACGGGTACCTGGGGCAGCAGACCTGCTGCGCCCCCTGGGTGGAAAGCTGGGGTTTTTATAGGGTTTTAGAGCAGAAGCGCTGGTACAGAAGCGAGAGGCATGGTTACAGGGGGCTGATTGGTACATTTACATGAGACCACGGTTTGCGTCAAAGTTTGGCAGAGACACCAAGATTTCAGGAACTGGGTGGTCAAAATGGTCATGATGACTCCTTGACGTGGCCCGTCACCTGTTGTTTTCCTTAGGACCCTTATCTTAACTGGAACAGTCTCACAGATATCCATGAGGGTGATTAACACAAACTGTTTTTAGTTCGACTGGGGCAGCCTGACCACAGATATCCCAAGTGGGTGACACAGCTGGGGGTTTCTTAGTAATTTTCCAGTTTCCCATCTAGCCTTCAGAGTTTTACAAAACAGTGGTGTCCCACAAAATGGCGTTAGCTATGTTTAACTTAGGGTGAGGCAGGGGTCTTTCAGTAAGAGTCTGTTTTATGTCTGATCACCATCTGCCTCGGGACCCCTCCCTGTCCTCCATATTGCTGGGGACAATCCTGACCTGCAACCTGCTGAGCTTCTTGCTGCAGAGCCCTCATCCCGTGGACTATCAAGATCACTGACTTGACCACAGGGCCAGCCCTCAGAGTTAAAGACATTGGCCATGTCTGCAGCGCCCAGCACAGAACTTGACAGGACCAAATGTACAAGGCCTTGAGAATGTCACTTGTATAATGTCACTAAAATCCCTATCCAGTGTTCTTTCACCCCATGCTTCACAGTGAAACCTTCGTGGTTGGTAGAAAGTGTGTCGTTAAACTTCCTTTCCATACTCGAGGAGACTGAGGCATATCACTGTATGCGGCTTGGGGACCAAGCATTATGTTACAGACTCCTGACACAACTCACTTGTCCCGCCACTGTCATGGCTCTCAAAGTCTGTTGCATGCAGGAGCAGAATTCAGGGCCACCTGAGAATGGGTTAGAAATGGACATTCTGGGACCCTGCCCAAATGTGGATCTGATGTACCCCAAACCCTGGCTCTGGACTTCACCAAGCCCTCTAGGACATCCCGTGATGTTCTCGAACCACCTCTCTATAATGACCGTACAAAACCACTACAACTTTCTCTTCTTTATAAATAGGTAAGTGAGGCACAGAGAAAAAGGCAATCGGGGGACTGGAGAAGTGACCAAGTCATTAACAACAGTTCAGTGTTTATTTCTCTTGTAGAGGATGGGGTTCAGTTCCCAGCACCCGTATGACTCAAAACCATCTGTAATTCTAGTTGCAGGGGATCTGATACCCTCTTCTGCGCTTGTAGGCACTGGGCTCACAAGTGGTTTATGTGCTGCACATAAACCACTCAGGCAGTTTTCATTCATTCATTCAGTCATTTGAGATGGGTTCTCTCTATTATGTAGCTCTACTCTGGCTGTCCTGGCGCTCTCTATGTAGACTAGGCTGGCCTCAAGCTCACAAAGATTTCCCTGCCTCCGAGGGCTGGGACTAAAAGTGTGGACCACCACAGCCTGGCAATTTTTCTTTTAATCTTAAAAAAACCAAAAAGGCAATTGCTCCAGAGCCACACAGTTTGTAGGTGATTACCAGTGTTCAAATCCAGGCAGTTTCCCTCGCTCATGGAGATCCCCAAAGAGTTGACATCAGAACTCAATTAAGATCAGTGGTTTTTTGGCCATTCATGAATAACTCCATATTGAGGGCCTGTCCGGGCCAGGTTAGGTGATGGAATATGGGAGCCTAGGTCCTCACTGAAGTCATTCTGGGAGAATGGCTCAGAAGACCTGAATCAAAGCTGTGACTCAGGCCGGGCGTGGAGGAGCACGCCTTTAATCCCAGCACTTGGGTGGCAGAGGCAGGCGTATCTCTGTAAGTTCGAGGCCAGCCTGGTCTATAGAGGGAGTTCCAGGACAACCAGAGCTATACAGAGAGAAACCGTGCTCGAAAAAACACAAAGCAAAACAAAACAAAAAGCTGTGCATGAGGATGGGGGGCTCCTTTAAAAGGCGGCGCCAATTTGGCGGAACCGTGGAACAAGCCCACAAAGCGCGCCCTCCCGGAAATCTGAAACTGCTACACCGGAACTGTTTTAGGCCAGGGGCAGCCACGCCGCCGCCGGAGACTTCCGTGTTATGGGCCGCAACAAGAAGAAGAAGAAGCGAGATGGCGATGACCGGAGGCCCCGGCTCGTTCTCAACTTCGATGAAGAGAAGCGGCGGTGAGTGGCAGGGTCGAACTGGATTCCCGTCGGGCTGCGGGTAGAGGCACGCCAGGCACAGGACGCGCACGCTCGCGCAGAGGGCCCTTCCGGCTCCGCCCCTGGACGTGACTGCTGCTGACTGCTTTCCCCACCGGGTGGAATGGAGGTCCTGGTTCTCCTCTCCCAGCTCACGGCCAGCACGGAGTTGTGCCTTGGACCACCCGAGTCCAGCCCTGTCCGTGGTCCCCGCACACAGCAGGCTCCTGGTCGTCGTCGACGAAGGACGGGCGCATGGGATGAGAGAGGCTTATGTTCATTCATTCATCCATCAGACTGTGTGCCAGCCAAACTTGCGACCCGGAGGCTGGAGCTTTGTGCTTTGGTGTCACCGTGGATAAATGACACGTAGTGCCTTGGTTCTCAGCCCCCATTGGTCTGGTTGCGACCCCTTTGGGCCGGGACGATCTTTTCACAGGACCCAAGACTATTCGAAAATAGATATTTACATTGTGATTCATAACAATAGCAAAACTACAGTTATGAAGTAGCATCAAAAATAGTTTTATGGTTGGCGGTCACTTCAATATGAGGATTAGGAAGGTCGGGAACCCCTGCTGTAATGGGTCTGCAAAAACCCCTAGTGCACAGCGCACCAAAAGAAACTGCAATTGCCAGGCCTGATGGTGCCGACCTGTAATCTTAGCCACCAGAGATGCCGAGGCAGGAGGATTGCAAAGTCAAACCCTGTTTGGGATCAAAGAAAGTTCAAGAACAGTATGGGCATTTGGGTAATTTATCGAGTCCCTGTCTCCAAATCCATATAAAACGAATTAATTTATTAGAGTACTTGCCTAGCGTGAACCAGGACCTATGTTTAACCCTCAGTACGACGACGAAATCAGGAACAGAGCAGACCTCAGATAGGAAGGGGAAGCATGAGTCAGGAAGGTGGGCCTCACTCCTAGGTCCTGCACCACGGCTGGGCCCACAGGTTAGGTGTCATTGGGTACTGGGTGTTGGTTGACTCGGTGAAAGAGTTCTGGGGTCTGGTGGAGGTGTTAATAGAAAGCCATACTAGAAGTGGTAAATCAAGTTCACCATAGGAGGCAGCGCCCGCCTGCTCTGTGTGTTGACCTGGCTGTGTGTACTTACCAAGGGGCGAGAAACCCAGGAGCAGGGGGTGAGAGTGAAGTCTGGGGAGGAGAGCGGCCTCCTCACACATTGTATGATGATGTCCAAGATGTTTTGGCCGATAACGGAGCATGTTATTGAGACTGTAGCTTACAGCCTAGGTGTGTGGTAGGTTATATCACCCACGATGACGTAAGTACACTCTGATGGTCCAGCAAGGACTAGCAACTCATTTCTCATAAGATACCCTTGCCATTGAATGACTCATAACTACACTATCTGTGACCCTGGATAAGTACCCTAGTCTCTTCCTCAGTGTCCCTATCTGTCAAACATGGACTGGCTGTTGAGAGGGTAAAATGTGTTAGTAGGTAGGATAGAGCCTGGCGCTTACGGCTTCGGGAGCTTCTCTAGAGCCCTTCTTTCCTTGTGCCTCCTCTTGACCCCACTTCTCCTCTGTTTTCTTCCTGTAGGGACTACCTGACAGGCTTCCACAAGCGGAAGGTAGAACGTAGGAAGGCGGCCATTGAAGAGATAAAGCAGAAGCTGAAGCAGGAGCAGAAGAAACTCCGGGAAGAGGTACGGTTCATGGAATAGGGTGGGAGAGGGGGGTCTCAAACTCCTAGGGGAGGGGCAGCGTGGGACAGAGCAGAGGGCGTGTGAGTCTGACTGGAGCTGTGTACACAAGTAGAGACACTGGGGGCTGGGGTGAAGGATGAGTCTCCTCTTGCATTAACTAGCAACCATGATCTCACACCATGGAAGTGAACAGGGCTGTTGCCTGGTATGGACTGGAAGGCCGTCCTCACTCTGTTCGTTTCTGTCCTAGTATCTTTTTCTGTGACCATGATAAATACCCTTGAAAAAAGCAACTTAAGGAAGAAAGGGCTTATTCCAGCTCTCAGTTCAAGGGCACAGTACATCATGGCAGGAGAGTGAAGGTGACAGGAGCTTGAAGTGGCTGCCCCCATCACACCCACAAGCCAGGAAGCAGAGTGATGAATGCATGCTGCCCCTCAGTTCCCTTTCCCCACTCACATAGGCCAGGATCCCAGCCAGGGGGAATGGCTCCACTCATAGTGGGCAGGCCTTCCTACCTCAGTGAACAAAAGTTAAGATACCATCCTATAGGTGTGCTCAGAGGCCCATCTCCCAGGCCATCCTAAATTCTGTAAGGTTAACAACTAACCATCACGTCTTCCCATTTGGCTCTAGCGCCACCAGGAGTACCTGAAGATGCTGGCAGAAAGAGAGGAGGCGCTAGGTAAGTTTTCACTTAGGCCTTACGTGGAGAGCATCCAGTGAGCCTGGGCTTCTGTGTCCCCGGTGAGGCTGAGGGGGAATGGGAAGAACACTGTGGAGAGGTGAGTTCCTTAGCTTAGAGGTGTTGGTGGTGATGCAGGGGCCAAGGGTGGCCTCTGAACAAGTGGATCAGAGACCAGGAGACCAGGAGACCCAACCACATGGAAACTGAAGCTGAGCAGAGAGCCTGGGATGGAATAGCTCTGGCTGTCACTCAGTTTCTCCAGAGCAGGGACAGGCTGGAGCACAGAGGGATTATTTCCAGCACTCAGCTGTGGGCGGGACTCTGGACTACTCTGTAGATGGGGAACGAGAGGGAGGGGCATAGGGAGATACAAGAAACATGGCTGGCTTTAGAAAAGTGCTGTGTGCCAGTCCCCATCCGCCTAGGAGGAGCCTGACTGACCTGTGCCCACCTTGCAGAGGAGGCAGATGAGCTGGAGCGGCTGGTGACAGCAAAAACAGAATCGGTGCAGTACGACCACCCCAATCACACAGTCACTGTCACCACCATCAGTGACCTGGACCTCTCAGGGGCCCGGCTGCTAGGTCTGCCCCTGCCTGAGGTAGGTCCCATGACAGCTCTGGGGAAGAAGGGGTTTAGGGGTAGATGGATTTGTGGGGGCTGCTCAGTGCTGGTCTGTGTTCTGGTCTCCTACTTGAAGTATGCCCCTGGCAGCTGTCTTGCATGGCTCGGACCATCCATCAGTTGAGTGCTGCCATGGGTAGAGGCGCAGGTGGCCATGAGGATGCAGGGGTAAAGCCCTGTGAGTCCCCGGGTGCTGAGCTCAGCTATAGCAAGCACTCAGCATCTTGTTGATGAAAATAGCAGCAGCATCCCAGGGAGTACAACAGAACATCTCCTCAAAGCTCTGCCTGTGGCTTGTGGAGGAATCTCTATCAGGCTATCTTCAGGTCCGCAAATGTTCAAGTCTTAATAAGATGCGGTCATATTTACATAGACCCTAGCATGTCCTCCCCTGACCTTTAAATCATCCGTGAGTTACTTACAAAGTGAGCCTAAGGCAGGTGGTGGTGGCATACACCTTTAATCTCTGTACTTTAACCTCATCCACATGAAAATAAATAACTTTTAAACATTGAGACCAGACGTGGTGGCACACGACTTTAGTCCCAACACTGAGGAGGCAGAGGTAGGCAAATCTCTGTGAATTGGAGGCTAGCCTGGACTACAGAGTGAGTTCCAGGACAGCTAGGGCTACACAGACCCTATTTCAAAGAACAAAACAAAAAACAAACCCCAAAAGAAAAAGAAAAATGAAGGGGGGCTGGAGAGATGGCTCAGAGGTTAAGAGCACTGGCTGCTCTTCCAGAGGTCCTGAGTTCACAACATGGTAGCTCACAACCACATATGGTGAGATGTGGTGCCCTCTTCTGGTGTGTAGGCGCACATGCAGGCAGAATGCTGTATAAATAGTAAATAAATAAATCTTAAAAAAAAGAAAGAAAAACTTGAATGCCAGGCCAGCAAGATATCTTAGGGTAAAGATGCTGGAGCACAAGTCTGTGCTCCAGCTGCCCAGGGAGTCACAGTCTAAAGTGCATTTCTGGGCTGAGGGTGCTGCCTGCCCACCTCCAATCTCCAACATCACAAAAACTACAAGGCAAGATCCCACACATTTCCAAGGGTCAGTCATTGAAGCACACAGGAAGGTGAAGGCGGGGGATGCTAGTTTAAGACCAAGCTGGGCGACATGCTGAGCTCCTGCCTCAAAGGGAAAAAGCTCCTGCCCTGAGTTGCAGTGTCTGTACATCCGAAGAGTCATGCCCAGCTGACTGGCTGCCACTTACCTGCTTTATGCTCATCTTCCTGTAAGGCCTGGCACAGTGTGTCTTGCTGCCATCTTGCTGATGTTGCTGTTGTCTGTTGGAAACAAGACTGTCCTTTGTCATTCTGGTTCTCAGACGGTGTCCTATTTTCTCTTCTGCTAGCATGACAGACACTATGACCAAAACCAATTTAGGGGAGGAAAGCATTTATTCCTCTTATACTTCCAGGTCACAGTTCAGCATAGAAGGGAGTCAGGGCAGAAACTGTGGAGAAATGCTGTTTCCTTACTCTGGCTGCTCACTGGCTCATGCTTAGTTAACTAGCTTTTTTATACAGCCAGGACCACCTGCCCGAGAAATGGTACCACCCAGTGTGGGCCAGGCCTTGCCCATAGACCAGGTTGATCTCGGTAGTTTCTCAGTTGAGAGGTCTCTGAGATGACTCTGGGACGTGCCAAGTCGACAGTTGAGGCTAAGCGGGACAGAGGCCCACCGTGCCCTCCTGCCCAGAGTTTTCTCTCAGCTCTGTTCAGGCCTTTGAGGCAGCTGGCCAGACTTCCCTTGTGAAAGCCAGACCTGCTCAGAATGCCTGTCCTGTAACGGTCCCTGTCCTTTGTTTCTCTAGCAAGGGGACTGTGATGGGTCCCAGGAGGAGGTGTCTTCCTTGGAGAAGCCAACAAAAGCCTTGCCCAGGAAGTCCAAAGATCCTCTGCTCTCTCAGCGGTAAGTTCTGGCTTGTAGTTCCTGGGTTCCACTTCTGTCTGGCACTAGTGGCTGGGCATGTGGGATTACCCTGTTCTGAGAGAGAGAGGCTGTCAGGCTCTGTGGAGCCAGACCAGGCCAAGTTTGAGACGTGTTTGGAGCTTGTCCCAGCTTCCCATCCATGTGTCGAATGATCACACTCATCTGTGAGGGTAAGGATCACTCCCCGGGCCCCCGCCACTGCCTGAGTCTTGAAGGTAAGCCAAGGCCCTGGCTCACCAGTCTCCACTTTCCCCACAGCATCTCCTCCCTCACAGCCACACTGCATGCACACAGTCGGAAGAAGGTGAAGAGGAAACACCCTCGCCGGGCCCAGGACTCCACCAAGAAGCCCCCAAGTGCCACTCGTACCAGCAAGACCCAGCGTCGCCGCCGGATGACGGGAAAAGCCAGGCACAGCGGGGAGTGAGCCCTCAAGCAGCCTGTGGCTCCCCAGCCAGAGTCCTTGGCTGTCCCTATAACCTAGCTACACTGAGGGGTAACTGCAGCCTAAGCCTGAAAATCAGGATGTCTCCAGCCTGGGGTCATCCTTGCTTGGGAGCCTCCCTGGGGTCTGAGCCCAGAAAGAATGGGCTTTTGAGAGCCTGGGCTCCAGGAGCCAGCAGAGCAGTGTTGGGGTTCCTTCCCAAATGTACACCCACCTGGTACTCAACAGATCTCTGAAACTCCTCCCGTCTATGCTTGTGATTTGCCCTGGCTTTGATGCCATGCGCCAAAGGTTGACTGCTGGGGTGGTGGGAATGGTCAGGGCTCCATTTTGCACCTCCAGGTTTTCCTGAGAGGATTACAAGGTCATGTCATATCCGGCTTCTAGTCCTAGCTGAAGACCAGCATGACCTGTGTAGAGTGTGTAGCCAGCTCTGCTGGTGTATGATAAAGTACACCACGGAGGCTGAGGCGGGGGATTCGAGTCAGGGTCATCTTCAGCTGCACAGGGAGTTTCAGGACATCCTGGGCAGGCTGTCAGGAGGTACCTGAGGGCAGCCAGGGTCAGGAAGCCACACTCGGGTGGAGACCTCAGCGTGGGCCTTTCCTGGAAGCTGGCTTGGTCTGGTCTCGGCTCCTTCTCAGCCTTTGGCTTTGAGAGCAGTAACTCCACCTGTTTGGCCGGCCTCTCTAGGAGGTTCTGGTACTCAGCCCAGAGAAGGGCCTCACTCTCTAGACCACTGAGCAACACGGCAGGCCAGGAGATGGAGGGGTTGGGTCCCCATCTGAACCTCAGGCAGTGCTGACCTGGTTGTTTCCCTGTATGAATCTCCCAGCCACCAGAGGCCGGAGTGTGAGGAGTACAGGGTGCTCTGCGCCACGCTGGGCTCACACTTCCTGGCTCACAGCGTGTCCCTCTGCTCAGTGATGTCTGCCTCTGGTGACATGAAGTCATTTCTAGTGGACATTGGCAATTTATATTCACAAGCGAAATGCCATCCACTTCTTCCTGTGTGTCATTGGTTTTCTAGCTGACCAGGGAAGTTGAGTCACAGAAATTTGGCCAGTCCTCAGACCAGGAAGGTGGAGTCAGAGCCCCCTGAAGAACTTGTGTCTTCTAGGAAATTCATACACAGAGGAGACACCCCCCCACACACACACAACCACATACACAGGAGATACCCCGCTTCACACACATACAGAGGAGTCACACATACATACACAGGGGACGCCCCACTTCAAACACAGAGATCACACATACACGGAACACCCCATCCTCCCTCCCCCAACACACAGCAAGCTTGGACTCCTTCCCTGTCTTTCCCTCCTGGGCAGAGTTGGGTCTGTTTGGACTTCAGCAAGAGCAGTGAGGCTAGCTGGACGTGGTGATGCACACCTCTGGTCCTAGCACTTGGAAGCAGAGAAGGACTGGCGAAGTTCTAGTCCGGCCAGGGCCACAAAGAGCCAGGCTCAAAAACCAGAAAAGGAACGATGAGGTCACGCTGGCACATGTTGCCTGTCCCAGCAGCTCAAGGGGCCGAGGTAGTAGACCCCAGTGCTTGGCCAGCTTGGGCTACGTGGAAGGACAGTACAGTGAGGTCCAGCTCCTCACACCATCGAAAGATCACAACTAGTTCGTGCACTCAGGACTCAGGCTGACAAACTTTCTGGCCTGGAGCTGGGAAGGCTAGAATCCTGGGGTGGCAGGCTTTTAGATCTTTTATGTCATCTTTTGACAGCTTGACCTCACAGACCAGGATAGCTGCTCGAGCTATAGCCATCATATCTGCATTCCAGCAAGCAGAGAAGAGGGGATGGAGAAGGACATAACAATCCTAGAAACAAGCAAGCAAACAAAAAACATTGCCACTGGGCCTGGAGAGATGGCTCAGAGGTTAAGAGCATTGGCTCCTCTTCCAAGAGGTCATGAGTTCAATTCCCAGTAACCACATGGTGCCTCGTAACCATCTATAATGAGATCTGATGCCCTCTTCTGGCGTGCAGTCAGAATACTGTATACTAATAAAAACTAACTCTTTAAAGAAACAAAAACTTGACTCTAGGTTTTTCTGTTGACCAAATAGAAGGCAAAGGCTGGGGCAGAGGGAGGAGGGCTCTCACTGCCAACCTAGGAAGGAAGAGGAGGATAGGGTTGCTCTGCTAACAGGAAGAAGGGGTATTGGGATACATCTAGCAGGCTGTTCCCCTGCAAGGAGAGGGCTTCCAACAGCACAGAGCTAAAGGTTCCCAGCAGGCCATATGCAGGGACAACAATGACAGTGACTCAGTCCAGGGAAGGCCGACAGCCCAAGCACTCCAGAACAGGACAAGGGCATTTGAGAAGGCTTCTGATCCAAGATACCTCTTCACAAGTCTGGAGAGGCTCTTCCTGAGCTGGGCAACAGGAGGACATGGAATGTGGTTCAAGGTCCTAGAGAACAAGGAATGGTAGGGTCAGAGGAGAGGAGAAAGCTAAATGGAGTCAGGGTCAGGGCTTTAGTTTAGAGAGGCCCTCTGGTGGTGGTGAGGGTGTGTGCAGGCAGATCAGAAATTTTGAAACCCAGGGCAAAGGTCTAGGTAGCAAGGCCCTCCTGCAGGCCTTCACTCGCCAAACGTTTCCAGGGCACTTGCCAAGTACAGAACACTGCAGATCAAATGGACAGCAAGACAGTTCAAATGCCATGACTGTGCGCTGGGGGACTCCCAGGACCTAGGAGAGATAGTAACTCTTAATATCAATGGCAAAATTTAAGTCCACCAAGCTGGCTGACCACATCCAAAGAGATGAAGGCCAACGCACAGGGCCTTGCCTTAAACGGGGGTGGCTCAGGAGTTCCTGAGGCAAAAGATAACCCATGAGGATCATGAGTTCTTCCCAGGCCTCAGCTGAGAGTGCTTGCTTCGGTTGGGGTGGCAGAGAGGCCTTCCTGGAGAGAGTGGAATTTGAGCCATCTCAGGCAATGAAGATTTACCGTTTCAGGGATGGCACAGGAGAGGCCTCTGGCTTAGAGTGGCTTGAGCCACGTGTTGAAAGCCAGCCCAATTTCAAGGAAGCACCTGTGTTCCCTCAGAAGTTCCCACCAGCACAATCGCCGGCTGATTTTGTTGCCAGGCCTTGGACTGTATTCCTGTGAACTGTGAGCTGAAATCAGCATTCACTAATCTTGACTCTGTGCTTTGCTATGTAAAAACAGGCCTGGCCATGTGTGGTCATCGCAGGACAGTCCTGGCCGCAGCCAGCTCTGATGACCCTCCTAAAGGTGCATGTGTCCTACTCTGCCCTCTGCCTTGCCCACCCAGGCTCTAACCCCTCCGTAGCCTGTGGGAGAAAGGGCCGGGTGCCCCTGCCACTTGCCAGGTGAAGACAGGTTCTGGGGTGGAACAAGGAACCATGGCACTCTCCAGATCTCTGAGGGGGTCTCAGGCAGGGCCATGACTTAACCAGAGTAACTCTGGAGTTACCACAAAGTAACTCCGCAGGGAGACGTTTGTCTTTGTTTCATTTCTGTTGCTGTGATGAAATACCAGAAAAGAAGCAATTTATGAGAAAGGAGATTGCAGTCCAGCAGAGCAGGGAAGTCAAGGCAGGGACTTGAAGCAGCTGGTCACGCCACACCCACTCAAGAGCAGAGAGAATCAATACGTTCACGTTCATTTGTGCTCAGCTCCCTCCCTACATTTTTTGCAGTTCAGGATCCTCTGCCTAGGGAATGGTGCAGCACCATTCCATAAGGAAGCCCAATAAAATCACTGGTTCCCCAGAAGGGACTCTGGTGGAATAGTGCCTTGGCGCTGGGAAGATGGGTAGACACTGTTTGCCCTTAGGAGGATGGTAGACACAGCTTACCATTCTGGGAGGGAATTTAAGCACACCCGTTCTGCAAAGCTGTCTTTCAGCTTCCACAAGTGTGCCCTTCACACTTAAGGTGATACACAATAAAGTGATACGATTTAAAAGATGTGAAGCCAGCAAGTCCAGAGCTGGAGCAAGAGGCAGGAGGATGAATCATGACAGTGGTGACCGCCCTGGCTGTTACCACAATGCCCTCAACTGAATCCTCTGAACAGTTCACAGAGCTTTGGGGTATTGTTCCCAGACAGAATCCCTCATGGAGCCACAGTGGATGCTGGGGGACTCTGGGCAGCTTACTAGAGCCTGACTTCTCTCTGATAGGATGAGGATGAGGAAGGATGTGTAGTCCCTGTGCCCCAGATGGTATGGGAGGGACAAATCACATGGGTGTGAGAGGGTGGCTTTGTTTCCTGGCTGCCATTTTCAGGACCGCTAAGAGCTCTGTGGGCTCCACCATCCTTCTCACCCACCTCTACAAGAGGGGCGTCTTCCCATAGTCCCCTTTGCTCCCTGTCTTCTGCCATCCTCTGTTACAGGCACTCCAGTGCTGAGGCGAGTACTCAGCAGGGTGCCCACCTGGTCCTCCTCTCCTGCTTTCCACTCTGGGTAGTGCCATCCTTCAGACTGTGCTCTGTCCACACCCACTCCCTCTGGGTCTTTGCTCAGACACATGAGACACTCCTCTAAGGTCCCTGAGGACCTCCTTGGAAACACATCGCCCACCCCACACGTGCCACTCTCCACTCCACTCTCTTTTCTGAGAAGCACCAGCCAACTCCTGTCTGGGTCTGTTTTCCTCCACCCCACAAACACACAAAAGCAGTGCACAGGTCTCTTGTTCTCTGATGAACCCTCGGCAAACATGACTAACAAAGGGCTGATAAATATTTAATGAACTGGATTGTCAGGAGTGCCACTCTCTAGATTGAATCGCCTGGTAGGGGCAGAGGGCTGGGGCCATCCATGCTCAGTTCCAACTTAGTGAAAACACCCATTTCATGGCAGGTTCAGAGAGGTCCAGTAACTGTCTCAAGAAGCTCTAGGGGTTGACTCTGAACCCAGGTCTCACTGGGCCCTGTCTTACTTAGAGCTAGCCAGACCAAGGAAGAAAGCCCATTGTACTTGTCAGCCCGCTCTGTGATGAAACAGGGTGGCTTGTTCAGGGCCTCACTTCTGCCCTCACTTGGGAAGAACCACATTTTATTCATGCTTTCTTTTCTGGGCACACCACCAGACATAGGTGAATGAGAGAATTAGCAAGTGGAGATGCTCCCCAGATTTAGGGGTATGACCTTGGCAAGTTCACTGACATCTCTGATCTTTGTTGCTGTCTGTAAAGGCCTGCTGTGTAACTGATGCACAATGGAGCTTAGGTTGAAAATTTGAGGTA